ATGTTAGAATTTATAGAGGGAACGTGCATTTCATCATCCGTTTTTTTTGTCTGTTCTGTTTCTGTTTTATTGGGAGAACGGGTGAAATTGCACTGTCGTAACATGACATACAACGATTTTCTATTTGACACCGCAATGAATGTGTAAACAGTGTATATCCCGAAAATATATTTCATTCTGTTTACGACCTCTTGCCTCTCACACGTCGCTGTTTATATATTTATTGAGCAGAGACGCGCGCATACACAGACCTAACTACGCTGGCCCAGCAATTCATTTTGAAACGAACGAAAAGAAAAACGCACAGCATTCGCTGTAATTCAGTTCAAAAATGTGCACAGATTTAATGTTTGAATTATATTAGTGATTTTCTAGTCGCATGCAATGTACGTCGATGTGTCAGCATTGAGTGAGAATTCAGCGCAACCGAAATTCATAAATATCCAAATATAGAGCTCTACACAGCGTATTTGCAAAATAGTAATCATTCAGCCCAACAAATGACAAACCAACTCCATATGCGCATATAGTATATTCAATTATTTGTGTTATGTTTTTGCTGGTGAATGCGTACAAATTTGTTATGTAAACACGGCGGCTATTTGATTTTCCTACCTTTCATCATTCGATTTACTTATATGGACAAACCGGGACAAACTGTCGATATTGAATACATGACTATTGAAATTTCGCTTAGTTGCGTTCAATCGAAATGGGATAAACTCACTCTGATCCAATGTTCGATGTGTTTTATGCACACATATCTCGTTGTCTATGTTGTCAATAACTGTATCATAGTAAAGTTAGAGGGGGACTAAAAACCAAAGCAAAGAGTTCGAATAAACTACAATTTCGACGTGTTTTGAGTGTGACGATGAAGTCGACGACGATGCCACAGTGGCGGTGACACGGCGGGCAAGAGTGATGGATTTCATTCATTGGAAATGGCTTGTTGCTTTTTTTTTTTTTTAAAGAACGGAAACAAGTAAAGATATATGAAAGAATGTTTCCGGTTATGGATGTTATGGCTTTTCCTCTTACATCGTGCTCAAAAGCTTATTTATTAATCCCAAATTGTATTACAGGTTTCTAGGTTTTATTCACATGACAATTCTGTTATACAGATATCGGGTTGAAATGAAAGGTTTACAATGCTAAGCTTATGGGATTTATCTCATGCGCTCAACATACACTATTTTATTTTTTGTTCAGCCCATTGCAGACTCAATTTTCATCAAGACTGTCGTCGTTTTTTTTATGAATATTATTTCTTTTGAGATCGTTAAAATTGTTACGCAAAAACAGTATTAAACATTTTATTCAAATCAGATGCAAAAACTTTATGCGACTCATTCGGCCCCATCTCGTGATCTGCCGTATTCTCAGTGGGTAGCGAAAACTTTGCGAGAAAATACATTACAGTGTGTTTGTCTTTGTCTTATGTTGTTCATACGAATGAACATGAAATTGAAGACCCCATAAAATGTTGAAAGTGAAATTACGACACAGGTTGTTAAAATTTACGAAAATCACTTGTGTTTGGTTGTGCATGTAGGCGTACAAATGGATGAATGATTCAATACAGGCGCACAGAGAGAAGTCGATGTAGAATAGCAAATGCGGCAAACATAAGCGATGATTAAAATCGATCGATTCCTCACTTCAGGCTATTTAACTATGAATTTTCGTTAATTTAATGCTGTAGTTCACTGTTTGATTGTTCTCTTTATTCACTTCATGTATAATCTTATTGTTGCAAGCGTCAAATCGAACAGCTTTGTCTTTTCACAGAAAATGTTTCGTAAATGATTAAAGAAGAAAGTAGCTAAAATCAGACACACTATATAGTTTATTTATAAATATTAAGTCAATCAGAGTAGACACATGCTTATATTCTCTCTTTGTCTCTCTCATCTTCACACTCATTCCGAAAGGTTTTAACTATCGAGCTGGCGCTGCAAATTTCAAAACCTCGAAAGATAGTCTAACCAGCATAAGTAAACGATGACAGAGATTGTGATTGCTACTACCACCACATTGATTATCTGGAAACACTAAGTTAGTCCTATGGCACCAACTGTGGCGCTCATCATTGGTCAAGTCATTACCAATCCTTCTTTTTTTCGGTTCATCTATCAAAACGCATTTTGAATGTCTCCATGATGAGAGATTGCACCTATTTTTTTTTATATAGATATTGGTTTACATATACTGCTGCATACATATACGCTTCATATGTTAAAGTCACATTATGACCCTGCTGCAGCTTGTACTCGGTGAGGTGAAAATGTCAACTTTCTATATTTTCCTCGTGTCTGCTGTATGTGAAATACCAATGCCGATGACAGCATGACACTTCGAATTAAAGATTAACACCACAGCTTTAGTTTTTATTGGGGCACAAAACCGGCCCAAATGAGACGGGTTTCTACTTTTAATCAAACGAATAAATGCAAAAATTAATTTAATTTTACGTTGGCAACGGTTGAACAAACATACACAGAGAGAAAGAGAGAGAGAGAGACATACCCTGACGGGGTATGAAATGTAACAAAACGCATGGGGCTATTTCAGAATTGATTACGTGACAACAGTGCATGACTACGACGAAGATAGTCCATCTCTTATTCAATCTATTTAACTATGCTGGTGGTTCGCTTGACCGCTCCAGCCAAACACTATCTTGTTAATTGTGTGTTCGAAAGGGAGAAAGAGATGGCGCGAACGTAAGAGTAAATGGAGTGTATTTTTTTTGTCTAGTTTACTGATATAAAAATGGTTGAAATGGTTCATTTGTTGATGATAAAAATAGAAATGTCGATTAGCTAAAGTAAAGTTTGAGAAGCAGCTAACAAATTCAATCTTTATTACAAAAATAAATAGTTTTATTGATGGCATAAAATCAAAGAAGAAAAGAAAGAAATTGTGTCGAAAATGCCAAAGAATCAAATAAATCGCAAATTCAACGAAGGAATATAAAATGGAGAAGACAAAAAAAACACACACACAAATGATTCGATAAGCACATGAAATGTGGCAAGTGTCTCGTCTGCTGTGCATATGCTGAATGTATTGAGCAAAAACTAATGCAATGAGACATATGTTTGAAATAAATTCTGTCTTGTTGAATCGAATCAGGGTAGACCTGTTTCATTCGCGCATTCATGGTTTCACCAAATAAATGCACTGACTTCACTTGACTCGACTCATTCTATTTTTCTATCTACTGTCCCATGATGCAAAATAAAATGGAATACATTTTGTGAAATGTTCTATTCAGTTTAATGACAAACGTGTTTGTTGAACAACAATAACAACAACAGCAGCAGCAGCAGCAACAGCTGCATATTCAAGAATTCAGTGTGTGTGTGTGTGTGTGTGCGGTCGGAAAATGCACAGTACCGTAGTCAGGACAGCTTGATAATGCACACAGCAGCCATTTGGCCGGAAGGCTGCAAATCCAAATGAATCGAGAAATGACATGACATATTCGTGGAAAGATTGAGATAGAGACCGTGAGAGAGGGAGAGAGATTGAATAAAAATGAATGACGAGCCCAATAACTAGAAGTCCCAGGGACTTTGTGCATTACATCCACTGAATTTTCTGTTCGCGTACAATGCATATACATAATATTTTCAGTTTTATTTAGGGAAAAATTGGATGCAGAGCACACTGAATCAAGCAACACACATACTCACGGAGAGAGAGAGAGAGAAGACCGGTACATACAAAAAGTGTACGACAAACACAACACCAGTGATTACAATTCATGTTCATTTAGTTCGTTTATTGTTCGGTGTTTTGACTGCAGCACAGAGGGAAAAAAGTACAAAATATAAAATAAAAACTGTGCAGAACTGTGTGCTAAAAAGAAAATGAGAAACAAGATCAACATACACACCAACAAATGTTCTATTAAAATTTTTGCTCTGGCTGCATTCGTTACCTGTTTTTGCAGTGTGGTGCCTTCAATTGTGTCAAAGCTTGGGAATTTCTCATTTCGCTGTGGCATTTTGTGTGTATGCGTTCAGATACGTCGGTTGCATATGGAAAATTATGTCATTCATCATTTCTATGTCTACCTTTCTACTTTGCAAGTTCCTTCGTTCGTGTTGCAGCCCCTCTTTCGAAAATAATTGCTTGTTGGTGTCTGCTTTTTTTACTGGTTTTTGATTCTTTCTTCAGCGCACCCGTCTCATTTTGCCTGCGCTTTTTGTTTTCCTACAAATTAAGCGTATACGTGAAAAGTTGTTTTCTGTAATGAATAATTAACATAAAATCGGTACGTCTTTTGAAGTCAATCGTTGTTGAAAATATGAGGCACACACACACACAAGCATAAAAATAACGGCGACAAAAAATATAAAAGAAAGTGTAAAACTTGAACTATGCAACAAATTAAATGAAATATGTCGATTTTATTTAATTGCAAAATTCTATTTTATTTACGTTGAAGTGGACACGTTTAAAATGGAAATGTATAAGTGCTTTTTCAAGCGAAATAATTAGGAGAATAAAACTCGTTCCAATTAGGTTAATTTGGTTTCATTTATTTCTCTATTTTTTTTGTGCAACATTTCGATCAACAGTGAAAATACTGACAAAAGCACCAAACGCCCGGACGATTGGCTTCGTATTATGTCAAGTTGCATCAAATGTACAAAAAAAAAATCATATAAAAACAAACGAGAAACTTTATCCAACCATCTATAATAGAAGAAGCAACTACATGACCATATACACATAGAAACTATTGGGGAGGGCAAGGTGTGCGGGGTGCTGGTGGTTTTGAGCAAAAGAGGTTTATTTGTGTTGGATAGCACACGCCGAAGCTATATAAAATGAATTTGACACTCTTGTGAAATGTTGAATAATTGCTCTTAGCTTTTAAAATGTAACTGTTGTGTGAGTGTCTCACATAAGATGAATAGCAAGTAATTTATTTTCGTTTTTTTGTGCTTTTTGTTCACATTTCTGCTTTCTCCGTCTCTTTACAGAATGGGTTGCTTAGGAAGTAAAGATCGTCTCACAAAAGAAGATATGGAGTTCTTAAAATCACACACACGCTACGACGAAGTGACAATCAAAGAATGGTACAAAGGATTCAAAGTAAGTACATAACCTAAACATAACTAAATATATACCATACATTTCTATATATTTGTATATATATATGTGTGTGTGTGCGATCATTTCTATGTGTCACAGAATTGTTCACGGTTGCATTTTTCTATCTCTCTACTCTCGGGCCATTTGAAAAGACGCAAGTTCGCTAAAGCAAATAACTATGTACGACAACATTTGAAATGGCTGGAACTCTTACATTTTATTTATGCGCATCTTGAATATTAATTACATTTCATTGCACTAATTGTGTATATGGTATACATATACCGGTTGATTTCACAATATGTCGAATGGAATGCTGGCGCAGTATGCACCGATATTTCAAGGGTTTGTGTGTGTCGCATACATTTCGATATTGGCCAAATGTTCAAACGCACGCGCGCTCACGTACTCTCGTACACACACACACGAACACACCACTTTTGTTTTATTTGGGTTGTAAAATTCCAACTATAACTGTGAGCATGAAGCAGGAATGAGACATTACCGTAATTATATTTGACAAAGAAAATTATTCAATATACTGATGGCATAATGCGGGCTCATAAAATTTGCAAACAACCATTATTACATTTAATAAAATTTTAGTTGATTGCGCTCAATAATAATGCATGATTCTTATTCCACAATTTTCGGTGGAATTACTGCCATTTTCTCTGATATTTTTGGCATCCGTAAACGTCAAATGAGCAACAAATTTGTGAATCTCAAAAGTTTTACGTTGGAATGTGTTCATTTTGTTGCAATGTATGCAATTTATGAGGATTTTTGAAGGAATTTATCAAACAAAGAATGTATGCTCAACATATAGTTGTCTCCAAAATAAAAGATATATCATAAACTACACATTTCATATCCTGTGAGCGGAAAATGATGTCTCAGTTTATGTGGGTGCGTGCGATCAAAATCTTTGATCAATTTGAAGATCTTGCATTGAGGCCAACGGCCACTATTGTCCACTTTGAGAAAACAAAAACCAATTATTAGCAGTAACTGGAGCTGGACAGATGGCACAAGATATGATCTGTCAATTTTGGGATAGGACGAATGCAAAGTGACAAATAAAAAAAAAAGTTTTGCTCAAGGAGAGAGCAATTTTGCTATCAGTATGATTGCATTATTTTACGCACACGCTCATACGTCTGTCTCTATGATTATGACATTTTGTCTATGGTTGTACTTTTTATAAATGAAAATCCTTTGAAAGAACTTTGTGTTTGTGTGTGACTTTTTCGCTTAAAATTTGTTACTATACATTTTCGTTCTTTTTTTTCTCAAATGAAATGTATATATAGATAATATTATATGACGAATGAGAAATTACGTGAAACAATCGTTATCATTTCCATCGTATTTAAAGGTAACCTTTTTAGTTTGTTAGTTTGCAACATTTTTGATGGGGGTGGAACGATGGCAGAAAAAACTTGAAACACAGTCAACATTTTTAAAAATACAGAACAAAAAAACTAGCTCTATAATTTTGTAATTTTTCGCTTCGCTTTCTTCCCAGCATGACAAAAAAAAACGTGAAACAGAGAGAGAGAGAGAGGGGACGTAGTTTTGTTGTTCTTAAGCTCGCAAACATTTTATTACCTATCACAATGAGCTGAGCATTTCCGATGGCAGTCGAAGTTTGAAATAGCATATGTATGCGCTCAGTATGAAAGCAACAACAACTGAGCAGAAACGTAACTTGCGATTTTATCGCATGGCAAAGTTTTAATTGTTCGAAAACTATAACTCGTTGAAATGATAACAGAGGCAATCGTTTTGCTTTTTCCACTTCAAGCCCCGGCCATTTGACTGTACACTTAAATACGTTGTTGCCGTCTGTGTCTTATTCTCATTACACAGAAGTTGTTCGAAACGCATTTCGCATAAACAATGTAAGCCAGAACTAATGTAAATGCCATCCGAGAATAAGAATCAATAGGGAACACAACAAAGAGTGACTTTGTCAACGCTGCAAAATATAAATATGAACAACAATAACTGCATACAACCACAAAATAAAACAAAACGAAAAAAAAAATACCACGACGATATGGAGACAGAAAGAGAGAGTGAACAGTTAACGACCGCAAAAGAGTTGAAAAAAAAAATAATTAGACAAAGTTTCTGTCATGTCAAATTTCAATTTTGCGAAGCGATTGGCAATTTTCTAAAAGGCTTGGCATCGCATACATATTGCTGTTGTAAAGTGACGATAAATGGTAAATTAAATGAAAAGAAAAGAAGCAAATCAACAAGCCTTTTGCTTGCGTCATGGTCATCGGTTGAGCAACACATTAAAAAAAAAGATAACGACGAAAAATATTCATAACTCTTTCTATGCGTCTGACTTTATTGTTGCTAATTTATATATTTTTTGTTTACTATCATATGTTTGAAAAAAAAACCGTATTGCATTGGTTGGTGTAGCTTTCAGACTCTTTGGCTTTGTTTCGATGTTTACCATACAACAGAACATAGCCTATTTTTGTAGCCTTTAATAAATAAATGGAAAATAAATTATGAATACGAATTCTCCATAGAATCCAATTATAAAATGAATGAAACGTGAGGGGTAAACGAGAAAGAGAGCGCACGTGTGTGTGTGTGGGAGAGAGAAAAAGGGTGAAAGGGAAAGCTCAAATGGCTAGAAAAGGTAGCAAGATGAGGCTTAATAGACACACATTGAACATGCCGCAATTATCGACGGCAAATCATGAAATAAGCGAAACTATTATGAAAATTAACTTATATATACACCTCCTCTGTCCTCATTTGCCAAACGGTAGCTCGCGAAATCGGGAATTTTCAAACAGTCAACATGAAAAAATCATTAGCAATTCGTGTTTCACTTGTTTTCCAGACACATACAATGTAGAGATCAAGTGGGCTCATATGCGCATTAGGGTGGAACATTTTTGGCACAATTTGGTGGCCACTTGAGAAAACATGTCTTATAGTCCCCAGATTCAAGATATGAAGACATTTTCAACTTGCGGTTCCATATAAAACAGCGACTTGAAAGGAAAGGAGGTGCATTTTACTAGAAAATCATAAAAAATGCAGTGACCCAATCACCATGAAAACTTGTGAATCTTATTTTCTGAC